GGCTTTTTGTTATCCAGCTCGATCAATGCAAAGGTATTGGAAAACGTGTCGCCCCAAACCTAAGAAAAAGTCTCATGGCGTCATCGGTATGCTCGTCGCGAAACTCCTGGAATGCTGCTAGGGCTCTAAAAAAGCAGTCTAGCCAAGCTCGAGGGAGATGTAATCGTACAACTACGTCTGAGTCATAAGGTATCCCCATGTGGTTCACTGTGGATTACTCAGCGTGTATAACTCTGACTCTGAAGAAGTTCGCTAATTAAAGCTCAGACAATAAAACCTCCTTTTTCCTTCGAGGCAAGATCATGCCAATCGTATGAGTGGACGCAGACTTATCACTGAACTTCACAAGCGTGCTCCTCCTGTATAGTAGGGGTGCGCCAGGGAGGAAGACAAAATGGTGGGCTTGACTCCGCCTATACCATCAGCGCGGATTGTGATCTCAGCGAAAAAAGCGATTCATAATTTCGTGTCATATGAAGGTAGTTCTTAGTTACGTTAATACTGTCTTGTTCGCTACGGATGAAGCGTCATATTAGTGAGGTTAGGTTTGACTAGCCCCATTCGTTCTCCACCAGTGGTTCAAGTGGATGACCTACAACAACTGGTGAAAACGGGTAATCAAAGAAAGTCTTGTTGCTGGCTCAAAAAAAGCAAAAAGGGGTCGCCAAAGCCATCCCCTCTTCACAAGCCTCACCATCTGCAGCGAACAGAACTCATTCCAATTGCGTCACGCATTACCATTATGCTACCAATCCTTTATAGCGACGAAATCCTTGGGAATAGCGCTTGACTGACCTTGGAAATCCTCGACTGTTCACTGCATTTATAATCGCTAATTCTTGTTCGGCCTAGCTGTGTCACTGCCTAAGGGTGCGGCTTAAGACCGTCACCGAAATCACTAGCGATGTAGGAAAGCCAGGGAAACTTGAGCGCATAGTCCGTATTTCTGAGATGGAGGGGGTGTGTCCAGAGGACCAGGTGTTGGCGCAGCGACGCTACACAGCTGCGACTCAATCGAGGCGCAGGTGATCCCCGCTCACCCGAAGCTCAATCAAGGCGCCACGTGTGGACCCCCCCCTCGCCCCTCTCTGCCTAAAACCGCAACTGTTCTTAACGGCATAAGCTGGCGCGCCTACATTCTAGTTACACTGAGCAGAACTCCACCTCCCCCCGCCTCCTTCACACAGGAGATATGTAGTGAGGTGTTAATACCGCTAGACCACAAGGATGACATGGCTGTTTTAGGAGATCCAAGAAATGATCAACGAAGTCGACATGGACGGAAACGGTCAGATCGAATTTCCTGAATTCTGTGTGATGATGAAACGAATGATGAAGGTCGGTTAATCTTTGCAAGAGATTTTGTTTTGAAGAGAAAAAAAGTGGCAGAAACTCTGTGACTTGGGACCTTGGGGTCAGGGAGGATTTCCCAGCACAGTCCCTAATCATGCGGACTGACAGGGACGACCATTGTGCCTTCCTCAATGGCTCGCCCAGAGGTCTCACGAGCAAAGGTGGGTCAAGTTGTTATCCATTACCAGCAGCCATAGATGCTGTTCTCTATGCGCAGGGACCATTTAGTTGCAGTTTTGATTTACGATTATTATCTTCATGCCACCTGCAGAACGTGGATGGAGGGACCCCCCTTAATTAGCAAATTCGATTCTGTCGGAATGTGCATTGCCGATAACGTCACAGCCATCCGCTGCTCTTGACATGCTGCGTCAAGAAACGAGCTTCTTCCAACATTACGAGTCAAACGCCAGTTTACAGCTGAAAAATTGAGCTACAACCTTCAACGAACCACTTATTCTCATTTAACCCCAATATCATTACAGGAAACCGACTCAGAAATGATCCGTGAAGCATTCCGTGTGTTCGACAAGGACGGCAATGGAGTCATCACAGCTCAGGAATTCCGATATTTCATGGTTGGTTACTTTCTGGGATTTTCAATACACGTCATACATTTCACACATTTGATGTACTGCTGCCAAAGTGCAAGGGGATCAGCAGAAGAATTTTGTATGCCCACGGCCATTTGCGTGACGACGTGAGGGAATTAGTAGCTGCGGCAGGGAAACGTAACTTTGCAATGCCTTCGTTGAGAACCCTTTTGAAATGCCTTGCACTTCTTCTGGCTTGCACGAAAGCTCGAACAACTAGCTTTGTAAAGAGCCCAAGAGATGGGATTGTAAACCAAATTTGTTGAAGAATATTTCATGGAAGGTACAAACCCTAGACGGAGTAGGCACGGCATTCGAACATGGCACAAAATGGGTACTGGCACAAAATGGAAATATTTCAGTTTTAGACAACTGTCATCGTGTTCAGTGTTGGACAGACATCTGACCACAACTGGGTCAGAATGAAAACATCTCTCCAAAAGCACGACCACCGTAACGTTAATTGAAGCACGCAGCCGCACCCACCAATCAAGGACTTCAAGTGTTTCGATGGTCATTCCCACGATTTAGTCCGTGCTTATCAGGCGGCAGAGAGAGTGGCAGGAGGACCCGTTAGCACATGCCTACGCAGTGAGAAAACTATGGAAACTCTGATTACCCTTTACTGCGCCAAACACCCGAAATCAAAACAGCTCTTCAGTGACTTTTTTACGTGAACACGTTTGGCCCAAAAATTTCTCCCTGGGGGTAGTTTCACCTTTTGAACACGATGTCAGATCCGCGTGGCCCGCTTTCGCACCCGCGCTAAGGCGCCGTTGTTAAAACACCCCAACTCACCAGATTCGCTGGAAGCTTGTCCCCAGGGTGGCTTGACCTCCTGCACGCATATTTTGCATCTGCATGTGGTGCCGAAAAAGTTATAGAGGAGTTAATGGTGTACACATGATGACGCGCCGACTTCTTACTCTATTTTGCACCCTTCTCACGAGATAGTGATCCCTTACTCTGCTAAGACTGAGAAAGAATCACTTGCTTAGTAGATGCAAGGATCATTGTCACACGCTAACTGAAGAGAATGCCTTTTTCGTTCCCTCTCCCTACTGCCATAGCACACCGCTTGGCCCAAAATCGACTGGGGTCCGTCCTACAAGCGCCGGAGTTAAAACAAGTATATGGTGCCGTCAACTGTGGCGCATGCCTTGGGCGCTTTCCGACTGAGCGGATGGGATATCAAACTCCACGAGGTCAAACTACTCCTGAGAACACGTTTCATTTACAATCTGATCATCTAATGTAATTCGGCGCCGGCGCCTTTTGCTAGGGCGTTAGGCGGTTTCGAGCTTAACGGAAGTGATATACGTGTTCACGAGGTCAACTAACCTTGGGGACAAATTTCGAGGCAAATCGAAGTTCTGGACTGAACTTTGAAAACTGGTACTGTCAAGTATGAATAGTGATAGAAAGTTAAAGGATTCTATTTTGATGATGAAACTTTGCAGAGAATACTTCGAATTGCTCAGGGTACCTTGTTT